ATGGAGTAGACTCAGTTCTACGTAACCTGAAGTGTTCTAGAAGTCACTGTCCCACAGTGCTTTATCGGGATGGTGTTCTGTACTGTTGCTGTAGCGTAGGTGGATGTCCAGGATTGGATCTGGTTTCTCCTGGCCATGCCTATCTGGCCATTGACTTAAAGTTTTTACCTCTTCTATTTTTTGAGGTAAAAAATGTGTTGAAGTGTAAGCAGGAGTAGATGTGTATAGAGAAATCTGCTCTGACTCTTAGCTGGATAGCCTGACTCATTTCAGTGGCATTGTACCAGGGCCACATTGAGTCATAATGGGGATGCTGGCCAAGATAGCATGGCACTCTTTGTTGTGTGTTCCAGAGAAAGGGGGAGTATGGGGACTCCTGCTTCCCAAAGCAGCACATGCAGGCACAGTGTCCTCATGACCCTCCTGTCACAGTATTTTAACACTGAACATCGCAGAGCAGCAGGTAGCTCCCACATGAGCTAAAGCCGCACTGCTCTTGGATGGGACTCCGCTTTGTGTCCGCTCCCCTTACCTACAGTGTCTCTGTCTTTCTCCTCCTTCCCCTTGTTTCTTTCTCTGCCACACCCCTGCAGCACCACCGCCTCAGCACTAATGTGCTTCTCACCCGTTCCTCTCAGTCTTGTCTGTCCCATATTAAACTTGAGAGTCTCTCTCCTGCTATCCACCTCTCTGAGATGCTGTTTGCAAGCTGCTGGGAGCCAGGAGGAGCTGCTAGCTTCTAATCCATCAGCCTGGCTCCACCATCAGCTTTGGAGTCAGGTTTAGGGATTTTACAATCAACTGGCCGCTGACCAAAATAACAGATGTTAGACAAGTTTAATCTCTTCGCTGTTTAATCAATAACAGAAAAATGTGAGTGAGAAACCTTAAATGATCAGACAGTCCCCCTTCCACATCACTTTTATTCAAGTTTGAAACAAGGTCTCATTTTGTAGCCAACGCTGGTCCAGGAATTTTGCTTTCCTGTCCAGCCTTCCAAATGTTTACAGAGGTGGGCAACGATGCCAATCTTTCCTAGTTTTATTTAAGCTATATCAAGTCATGGTAATAGGAAAACTTCTAAATTTATTCCATAAAGCTAGAATCATTTAAGTTCCTAAATCTATAAAAAGTTTTATCAACCTTATTTATGAGTATAAAATCCTAGATGAATCAATATAAAACATACTTAAGAATCACAGCAGACAGTATTCAAAATCACATTTTTTTTTAAGGTTTTTCGAGCCAGGGTTTTTCAGTAGCTGTGGAGCCTGTCCTGGAACTTGCTCTGTAGATCAGCCTGACCTCGAACTCATGGAGATCATCCTGTGTCTGCCTCCTGAGTGCTGAGATTAAAGGCATGCGCCACCCCTGTCTGGCCAAGATCACATTTTTAAAATATGTGTTTATTTTAATTATATGTGCTTGGGTGTTTGCCTACATGTGTATATGTGCACCACATGTACGCAGTGCCTGTGGAAGCCAGAAGAGGGCTTCAGATGCCCGGGTACTAGAAGTAGAGATGGTTGTGATCTGCCACATGGGCGTTAGAACCTGAAACCTGAGCCTCTGAAAAAGAAGCAAGTGTTCCTAACAACTGAACCGTCCTTCTAGCCACCACAATGGTGTTTTTAAAAGTGCAACACAAACTAGAAAAGCTTATTCCAGGAAGGTAGAGTATTATAAAATCTACTTTATAAGCCATCCTATTAATGAAACTAAGGCAAAAAAAAATCATTTCCATAAATGCGGAAGAAGCACTTGATAAAATTCAAGACATATGTACTTTATTTTATTTTTTTCTTCAACAAATATGTATCAAGCACCTGTTTGTTTTACAGTCCTGAGGCTGCAGGAGTGAAACAGATACTGGCTCCATCCCAGCCCTCTCACCAGCAAAGGGAAGCAGTCAGCAGATAAGCGAGCAAGGGGACGGGAGGTTTCACCCAGGGCGTTGTTTACGTGAAACTCAGTGTATATCGATTGCATTGGTATAGTTCACACACCTCTGCCCAAGACTTCCTTCTTGAGTAGAAAGACGCTAAAGATTTTCTCTTTGAAGTCAGAAATGAGTTAAAAGTGCTCACTTTGTCTGCACCTTTTTTATTCTGGGAGGTGGGGACAGAGTCTCATGCTGTGTCTCAGACTGGCTTTAACTCATGTAATGCAGACTTTCCTCAAACTTGTGGTGATCCTCCTGCCTCAGTCTCCCAAGTCCTGGGAGTCCAAGCATGTACTGCTGTGCCCAGCTTGAAACATTTATTATCCAGCTAAGGAAGAAGCTAACAGGACGGGAAAGCAGAACTAGAAGTGGGCACTAAGGACAGAGATGAGGCTAGCTATGTGCGGAGTACAGGACAGTGAGCTGCAGCTGCTTTGCATTGGTTAGGAAACCTCAGCAGCTCATAAAAGCTGCGTATGGGAATCCCAAAAGAAGCACAGAGGAGACCTGTGACAGACAATAGGAAATTTGGTCAAGTGCCTGGTTTTAAAATCTGGCTCAGTGGGTAAAGGTGTCTGCTGCCAAGTCTGACGACCTGAGTTTGTCCCCAGTTCACTTAGTGGAAGGAGAGAACCAACTCCCTCAGGTTGATCTGAGACCTCCACACATGTGCTATGGCATGCTTTCATCCAAAGATATGCATGTGACCATCCCTCACTTTCCACAGGGTCTGAGGATCCAGACTCAGGTCCCATGCTCGTATGGCAAGTCTTCATTCACTGAGCCATCTCCCCAGCCCTTCACGAAGAAATGGTTAGAAATGCCATGTACATCATCGTATAGACAATACAACACCATATAGACACCAGCTTTCTTTAATGTATGCGCTTTATGCAACCACAACAACAATTTCGCAAAGGTTTTCCTGGCAGCACAGGAGCGGACTATGACTATCTGTCCGTTCACAACACGGTGGTGGTTCCTAGGGGGTAGAATTACCAGGCCCAGGAGCAGCTTGGGAGATGATGGCTTTGCCTTGGGCTTATACATCTTGTATCATCATCCCTGTCTCCATGCCATTGCCCTGACCCAGGTTGTCCCCACAGGGGCCAGCGTTCAGGAGGTCCTTTTGTTTTCTCGTGTCAGGAGACCCAGCATTGCTGAGAGTTGTGGTTCTGTCAATTTATCTGCCTTCCTGTGACTTGGGTCTTTCACTGGTCCCCATTGGGGCTTGTCACTTACAGAAGTCATTAGAGTGGTCTGGATGCATTTCCGTGGCTGTGTAAAACATCCCACTTAAAGCAAATTAGGAGGCAAGGGATTTATTTGATTTACAATTCCAGATTGTAGTGCATTGGTGAGAGGAAATAGAGGCAGGAATGCACACATCCAGTCGCGTCCTCTCCACCGTCAAGAGCAGAGAGAGAAATGGCTCACACGCCCTTGCTGGCGTGCGCCTTGTGCTCAGCTCGCTTTCTTCACTCCTGTGTAGTTCGGAATCCCTTTCGTCAAGAGTGGTGTCACCCACAATGGGCTGGACCCTTGCCTTGTCAATCAACTGTCGAGACAACCCACACACACATGCCCACAGTCCTCCCATTCTCAAGTGCGACTCTCTTCCCAGGTCATCCTAGGCGTGGGAACATGACATTTTAAACTACCACCAGAGGTCGGGAGACTTTCCAGGATGGTCTCCATTGTTGCTTCCCTCTCCCGACCACTCAGGAATGCCAAGGTGGGAAAGACCGTGTCACCTGCTTACGGTGCAGTGTTGTTGAACGGCCTTGGTGGGGAGGAGGTGGAGGGCCACATTGTTCCTTTCTTTTAGTAGACAGTGCATAGTTCCAGCTTAGCTCAGCCTTGTGGTTTTTATTTGAAGGCGGCCGTTTATGATGAGTTGTAGCTTCTTCATATCTGTTATGTAACCATGGTGTGTGTTTCCAGCCTCTTCCCTTTAATTTTCCTCCTTGGGACTTTTCCTCCTCTCCCCCAGCCTACTGTGTACCCACTCAGCGTGTGACCTCCTGCTCTCTCATCCTCCCATCCCGGTGCATGCTCCCTTCATGCTCCCTGCCAAAAAAACTGCCCATTATTCAGTGCCATGTTCAAAGATTCCCTTAAAAAATAATTTTCCTTGTTTCCAACTGAATTTGAAATGCTGGCATTTATCAAGGCAAATCGCCCTTTGATTTCTCAGTAATGTGTATTTCTTCTGAAGCTCCCTGTTCAGCTGAATTTTAATGCAGACGTCCGTGGCACCTGGGCAGTTTCTGAAATAGTTTGCTTATTGCACTGCACAGAGCACAGGTATCAGAAAGATCCTTGGGATCGGATTAGGAAGGCCAAAGGGCTTGACTTAGCCCAGCAACCTAGACTCACTAGCCAAACTGTCCATGAGATCTCAGCCTTTGGGAACTATAGTCATACACTGCATGACAATTTTTTTCCTGGGGGCCATACAAGCACATAGAGATGAGGCTGAGCATAGGAACCACATCCTGGAACTATCTATTCTTTTTAATATTTGGAACTAAACTGGCTCAAAATTTACATAAGAAGACCCATGATTAAGAATGTATTCTTAATTGTTTTAGTTTTATTTTTAATTACATGTATGTATGTGTTGGGTGTTAGAGTCCATATGAGTGCAACTGCTAAAGGAGGCCAAAAGAGTGTATCAGATCCCTTGGGGCTGGAGTTACAGGTGAACTGCCCCACAGAGGTTCTGGGTACTATACTTGGCGTTCTCTGCAAAACAGTGTATACTCTTAATCTCTCCAATCCCAATAATGTATTTTTAAAATGTAGGTTCCCACAATAATAAGTTGTTTATATTTACAAGTTTGTGTCTGTGCAATCACTCACACGTATGTGCACATGTGTGTACACATGCTATGTGAGGTTAGGAGACCCGACATTGCTGACTGTCCCACCCACCTTGCTACTGAATTCACCTTTTGGTGAAAATGTAACTAACAAGACAGGAGACATTTGCAAGCATCCGTACCTTCAGTATCTTTGAATTATTCTTCAAAACCACATCTCTTTTCTCTTCCAGGAAATGAGAGACTTTGAAGTCACAAGAAGAGAAGGTAGGAAAAATTTACTTACATCTATATCATTTTTGGCACTGTTTTAGAAGGGGCTTGGATGAAGCTAAGGTGAACTTAGACGACAGGCAGCCTGTTCTTTGAAACACCATGTGGTCTTTCCTGCATGCTAGCTGTTTGCCTTTGATTTAAGAGACCCAAGAACTTAAGGCTGGGTTTGCCTGTGAGAGCAGAGCCTTCTGCCTTCAAGTATCAGAGACGGCTCGTGGGAACTGGTTCATTCACCATCACGTCTATGGTCTCTGAAGAAGACCCTCATTTTTGGGTGATGTTTGAAGTCATTGGGTTTCACTAGAAGAAAACATTAATCATAGACACACACACACACACACAAAAATAGTTTATGATTTGGGGAGTTTCACTGTTGGGCAGGCAAAGCCTCAATGAAAAATGTTTCTGATTAGATTTTTACAGCTTCATCTAAGCCAGAATAGAAATAACCAATTAATTTCCCCCTTTGAAAACAATTCCATGATGTTCCATTTTCCCTGCCAGCCTTCCTCCGGCACATTTGTTTTCTGGTCTCAGAGGTAAGCATGTACGGATGGCAATTTCAGAATCTTCTAATGGAAATTTCTCTTCTTTACTTTCAGTAACAGCTAGTCTCTAATGAGAGAATGTCTTTTGTGTGATTTGTGGAATCATCTCTTTACTGTAGGGATGGAGAGTGAATAAAGCCAGAAACCGTAGTGTATTCTCAATCTAGCACAGAGTCTTTGGTTTTAGCCTTAACCACGTCCTCCTCTGTGGTATGGTCTCCAAAAGAGTAATGACGGGGTAGAGAAACACCCTTGCTCCTAAGTCAAACACTCCAGGTTAGTTAGCACCACGCTGTGCTTACAATGAGAAACTGGGATAACTGTGGTATGATGCCAAGTGGCTGGCATCCGTGCTCTGGAACCATAAATTCAAAGGATCTGCATAATCTGATTCTAGCAGGAACTTTCTGGCTTCCATGGACTCAGTGTACAGTGGCCTCTGGACCATTTCAATGGGGCAAACCACATTCTCCTGATATTGATACTGAATTAAATGGGATGAAGGTAGATGGGGGGCAGTTTTCATTTTAGAAAATTCCATTCCCACTGGGACTAGGGGACTGTAAGCTGGAGAGAAGGCATGAAGGTAGATGTTAGCATGTCCTGTGTGGCTTTGAATAAGTTATTCATGTGAGTACCTTGCCTGAGAATGTCTGAAGTTAATTTGCATGAAGGACTCGCATATAAATTTAGCTTCTTTGGAATCTTACTGTCTGTATATTGAAAACATCTTTGACTGTGCTGGAGTTTGGCACAGTCATATGCATTTCTTTCTAAAGACATAAAAGTCCTCCCTGAACTCACAGGGTTTAGAATTTCCTGAAGGATGACAGTGAGTACACCAGAAAGGGCACAGAGACAGGCGGACTATGCTGTCTTCATCACAGTTCCTGCTTCCTAAGCCTCGGCCTCCACAGTGACTAACTGGGAACATGTTTCTTGGGTTGTTATGTTACTAGGCAAGTCTCTCCCTACATCACAATGTAGTTCTTTCTATTGTGAACGATGTCTCTCTTGTTTTCTTCTGTCAAAGTTGAGTGTTTAAGAGGTCCTGAAATAGCTTGGTGTCAATGCTTGTCACACGGCAGTGAGAAAGGGAGGTTGGGGCCTTGGAGGGTATTTCCAAGTGTTTGAGGATCTGAGAACTCACTGCCTTGGGTTTTGCAGGTTGTTAATCTTCAGAGCAGTATATTAGTATAAAAAATAATAACAGCACTGTGAAAATTTTACCAAATTATTTTTATCAACAAAAATAGATTATTATTGTCTAGCAACATAACTGTTGGGTTGAATCCTGCTCTGACTTGGCTTGCAACAGGAGAGGCTCGTCATACTCCATTTACCAAGCCCCAGGAGGGTCCATAGTGATCAAGGGAGATCACTCTGAATGACTTTTGAATGAAAAAAGGCAGTGCCCTGACCACAGAATCTAAGAGAATTTTCCATGTAGGTGTGTTTTGTTTAATTCCTACATCTAACTGTGAGCAGCAGCTCTACCTGACAGCATCACAAACACATGACCCAACACAAATCCCCACTATGACTTTCAGAGGTGCTTGAATAAGTGTGCTGAGATGTGAGAGAGGCTGGTACTTGCCTGGGAGGTGAGGAGTCTAGGCTGAACCTCAGCGAGGGGCGGGGACGAGGGGGGTGACTGCTTGTGACTCTTTTTAATGCTCCTGCAGCTGGTATGCTTTATGCCTCCTCCCAAGTCACCTCTGCTTCATAGCACCCAACCCTTTCCTGAAGCATTTGGCTTCTGCTGCTAATCCATTTTATTCATCACCTAACAGCAGAAACCTCTTCTGTCCTTCTCCATGTTCCCCACAATCCTAGGTCAAGTCCAGTAATTTGTTTATACGTGTTTCTTCTTCAATACAATATTTTTTATATTTTAGAATTTCATGCGCACAATGTCCTTTGATCATATTCACCCCATCCCTCTAATCACCCCAGATCCACCCCTACATCTACCCTCACCAACTTCATGTCCTTTTTCTCATAAACTATTGGGTCTGCTTTCTGATGCCTATATGCACACGAATGTAAGATCATCAACTCAGGCATAGACAACCTATTAGATAGCACACCCTTAAAGAAGAGTTCCTCTCTCTCTTAGCTGCCAACAGCCTTCAATAGCTCCTAAGCAACGGGCAGGAAGCAGTGAGTCCCTCCCCATCCATGCTAGAATGTTGACTGGCGTGATCTCATGTAGGCAGCTACAACTGAGGTAAGTTCAAGTGCAGTGGTCCTAGAATGTCCAAAATTTCAACCCAGTCCTTTCTGGCGTCTTAGAATCTTTCTGCCCCTCTTCCTTGATGTTTTCTAAGCCTTTGGCACAGTAGTGTGGCTGGGTACTCCACAGTCATTTATTCTCTGCACGGCGACCAGCTGTGACTTTCTGTGTTAACCACTGTCCACCGCACAAAGAGGTTTCTCCGGTGAGGGCGGAGAGTGTGGAGAAACAGTAGCGTCTTGATCCTGCACACTGGGAAGCAGAAGTCAGTTTAATATTATGTCCATTTAATAAAATAACAGTAGTCAATTCACCCCTAGGGCCCATGAGCTCCCCAACCATGGGTTCTTGGCCAGATTTACAATATCAGTCACACATCTCCTCCTGTGGAGCAGGCCTTATATCAGGAAGTGGTTGGTAAGGCCCATAGTGTCCACGCCACTGTCAGACCCATGGATGTACCTTTCCAGGCTGATTGTTATTGTTGCTTTCCCAGTTTACAGCTGGGTAAGACTGGTGGTGACTTTTTCTCCATCAGCCTGCATAGGACCTCGCGGTAATAATTATTTCTTGAATTATGTACAAGCTGCCCATGTGTGCCCTGGTCTCATCTTCATGATATACTAGTGAGGACCCAAGGCCTTCAGATTTTAAAAAGATAACTTAAAAGATATATTCTGAATTGATACTACTAGTTTTAAAAATACCGTTATAGTTCTTCAGTGTGTGTTGCCTTCTCTGGTGACATTATATTCTAATAGGTCCTAATAAGAAGAAAACACACAGTCTGTGTGTATCCACTAGGTGTTCCTCAGCGATGCATTAATGAGAGGACTTCAGGTTCAAATAAACTTGGTGTCATATGGAGCCATATTATGAGACTCTGTTCTCAAAGAAAATAGACTGACAAAAATGGTCTATTGAAGTCCTAAGCTGGAATTTGTGAACATGACCTTATTTCCTAGGGTCTTACAGACAATAGACAAGCCAAGTGAAGGTAAAGTCCTATTGGTTCAGTGCTGGCTTTGGTTCCATGCATGAGTGGCAGTGGGAGGTTCCTATATAGACGCAGAAGGAGAACGCCATGTGAAGGTAGAGACGGGGCATTGCTGACAACCACTAGCTAGGAAAAGGCATAGGGGCATTGTGCCTAGAGCCTTCGGAGAGGAACCATGAATGGTCCAGTCCATGCCTCTCTCTATCTTGGTCTTCTGATTTTCATAACTGTGAGAAAATGAGTTCCTCCTTCTGAAGCCTTCTGGTTTGTGGTGCTTTAATACAGCAGCCCTAGGGTACCCATACACTCAGAAAGTGCTGAACTCAAACAACCACATGAGTTGTGTGGCTGCAGAATCACTCTGGCTTCTTTTGTGTTAAATACAGTCTCCGCAGGGAAGATAATAGGCAGCGTCTCCCCAAATCAGCTTCCCATGGGATGAAACAAATTTAACTTTGCTGGTGTTCAGGGCTGGCACTGCACTCGGTGCCTTCATGAGATCTGCTATAGCGAATCCAGGCAAGTGGATGGCTTCCTCAGCGACCAGGCACCAGGAGCTGAGCCTGTCTGGAATGGTGAGGTGGGTGCAATGATGCTGGCTTACACATGAAGTTTCGAGGATTCTTTATCTGCCTTGACCTCAGTAGTCCATGACACACGCAAAGCAGACGGCACCCTACACTTGAGTTTCCTCCCTTCCTTTCCATGTTGTTGTTGGAGACAAGGACTCTCCCACACCCCACTCTTATAGGTGGTGGTTGTATAAGTTGTCTGATCATGATCCCTCTCCCCATCAAGAGGTATTGCTTAAAACAGTGGCTACCAAGCCTACATAGCTGAGAGCAACTCATGAATGGAAGTTCTTGAGACTTTGTAGACATGTTAGGCTTGCAGTGATTACTCTCTCATAGTCGTAAAGATGGGGGTAGGACAATGAGACCACAGGGTGTCTCTAGGCCAGGACACGTTCTTCCTTAGCGGAACAAGGCTGTTGCTTCTGCATTACATCCCTGTACTGACCTAGTATCTAGGACCCACCTGTGCTAGCTGCACAGGAAAGCAGCCATGACAACTCGTGTGTGTGTGTGTGTGTGTGTCTGTGTGTCTATGTGTCTGTGTGTGTGTGCGTGCACAAGCAGTGCACATGGAGGTTGGGGGTGAGTGTTAGCCATCTTCTCTGCTGAACCTAGAGCTCACTGATTCAGCTGGACT